ATGGCTAATCCAACACAACAAACACTTTACTCCTGCGCTAGGAAAGGACTCAGTAGACCCAATAGGAATGTTCTGGAATTTTCTGGAATATGCACTGCTTGCTGCCCTCAACAGACCGGGGTGATCCGAATACACTGGATACAAATGGAGAAACAGAGCTCTGAGGAAGAGGTTGTGTCCTCAAAACGCGTTAGCCAGTTGGTCATCCAGGGTTCCATCCTATGGACTCAGATGTTGTTTGGATCATACACCTTGTTCAGTTTGACATGCCTGTGTTATTATGTCCATTGTGAGTATGATACCTATTTTTGTTTCTTTAATACATTATTTTAAATGATAATGCACTAGGTCGGTGCGCCCTTTTTCTGTTTCTCCATTTGTACCCATGGCTGTCAGAATACCTGAACAGTGACTGCATCTGACTGGCTGCAGTCACTGCTCTGCTTAGAATTTGTTGTGTGACTCCTTCAGTTTTCAGATCAAAATTTGTCAAGCCAGTCGGTGCCATTAGAGTCACCCATGGCTCAAATTTGAGACGATTCAAAGGAACCTGCTGAAATTTGAGCCATGAATGGCCAGCATAAGACTGGAAGGAGGGCTGGAGGATGGGGGTGGAGCTACATGTTAAGTGTTAAATGCAATTTAAAAATTCTAGTAACCCCACCTTTTCAGTGCATTTCCGTAGCTATTTTTAATTTAATATATTTTAAAATACGTTTTTCTCCCATTCTTTGCATCTCCCAATTTCAAAGAATAGCAGATTCAATACTTACTGTTCTGGTGAGTTAATATCTTCTATGGAATCTTTGTTAGTTCTGGATGATTCTATAGTGTTCCACTGTGAGGGAGTATTTTGATCATGATGATTTTTTAAAACAACCTTTTCACCATCTGTAAAAAAAGAGAAAAAAAAGCCTTTTTAGGTTAAACATATAAATAGCATATTTCCATTCTCTTTATTTTTCCTACACTGTTTCAGCACACCACTAGAGATCACAGCCTTTTTCTATGATCTCACTATGACAGAAAGTTACAGCAGTAAAGTAGTAAGCTAAAAGAAAAAAAAAAAGTTTTTTTCTTTAGTCTCAATAAATGTTCATCCAATATAACCCCTAGTTTATACAGAGTAATTATATTCAATGAACCCTTTCCTTCCCTTTTTATTTAGTTTTTCTGTTGCTTTTTTTTTTAATTTAACTCTTTTTTTATTTTATTAAAATACACAAAAAAGTTCTTATTTTATTTGAAAATGTACTTTTAAGTATTCTTATTTAATTGTTATGGTAAAACTATGACGTTAAAAACTATGTTTTAGAAGACAATGACATCATCAGAAATCCTTGCCCTTTCCCCTGCATTGTGAGAACTGACCTGGAAAACATGATCAATGTATTGCTCCTACAGTTTCTCACTTCAAATTTATCATAAAAATCTTGCAAGCTGTATTTTTGCCTAACGAAAAGTTTGATTTACTAATATTTGTTTAAGCTCATTGTCTCACAAATCATATCTACTCTAGACACTGCATGCTTATAATGCATTTCTACATTTTGTTATTTTACTTACACTGTAATATTCAACATAAACATGCATTAACCTTTGAACCCCTTTGAAACACGTTGGATTTTATTGACATGAAGAATCTGAATAAAACTGAACTTTATATGTTCTGCTTTTGGTACTTTCTTCTTTTGAGAACTTTGCAAATCCCATCACTACTCGAGCAAAGAGCTTTGGCCACTGGAAGAGCTGCCAAAGGAGAATTACTCCATCTACACTGCTTAAAACTTGATAGAGAACATCTATTACTTTAGTAGAACTATCTTGCCACACATTTCTTCTACTTCCTGAAAGTAACAGATTTGTTGCAGATTTTACCTCACTTCCTGTCTGGTGAAATATTGTCATCATCAGGACAAGCTGTCAAGGTAAATCATATGTTCCGTGCACTTTTCCTGCACCATGCTAAAAATGCCCTGCAGTTGTGATCTGCAGCGGGTGTCAATATTAAGTTGACATCCGAAACGAAGGTAGCAAATGCAGTTCGTTTGCTGACACCAGATAGCATGGTACTACTTTGGTGCAGTTCAGTGTGATTTCAGCCCATTCAGAATGCATATTCCTGTGTGTTTTACAGGAAGGGAAATGCTGGCCAAAGTAACAGGCTCACATGACTGCCATTCCCACACCAGCTGCATACACTCAATTTCCCTTTGCTTCCCTGACAGTTCTGCTGTGTGGAGCAAAGAAATTATCAGGTACTTCTGGGTATGGAGAACATGAGACTAGTTTTCTTTCCTTCCAGGATGCAGCACTGGGTGCCCAAGCGACTGGCTGTCAAACATCTGTACTGTCACATAGTGGACAGAGTCCTGCTTAGACCTGGGTAACTCCACAGTGACTTGGAGTTTTTGCAAGGCATGTTCTCTTTGTTCCCTCAGGGGAATACAGCTGTGGCAAAGCAAACTGAAGATAAGCCTAAGCAGCTGGGGAGTGCAGTAGTTAGGTAAACTAGTTGCCTAAACCTGCATAGGCAAAGCACATTTCACTGACTGTAAATGTTTTTTTTTTTAAATAGCAAGCAGGTTTAGTATACTTATCTGCTCTGTGTAATGGAATTGCACAGAAAGGCCCCGAACCTCCTCTTCTTTGGTCTCCTGCTGGTACTCCTGGCTCCTCCTCTCTGGCGAGTGCCCCCATAGAAAGCTGCTTGATATGGGGGCACTCATGTAGGCTCAATTCTGAGCCTCATGTCTATAGACACAGAACAAACATCGGGACTTGGTCCCACCCCCTGCTCTCTCATCACTGCTTTTGATTGACAGAAACAGGAGCCTTAGCAAAGCCTGTGAGACCGGAAAGTGAGGGGAGAGAAGATCTGCAGATGCGTGCAGCGCTGGATCAAATAAGGGCTCAGGTAACTTAAACAGAGGGTGATAGGGGGGATATTGATGCCTAAACAATTTTACCTTAATGCAAGGAATACATTAACCTCCATGGCGGTATTCCCGAGTGTAGCTCGGGGTAAAGTTTCAGTGGCACAAGCGGTAACCCCGAGCTACACTCAAGCTTACCATGTGGTGCTGCTCCGGGATCTGTTCTTCTCTTACCTTGTCCTGTGCTCCCGCGATGTCCCTCCTGCAGCGTCCCTGGCAATGTAATCCGGCGGATGCCGGCATCTGTCATCTGGGTTCCGTCCCCTGCGAGCATCGGGACGTACGGAAGAAGGAACGGCGGGAAATTTGAAAATGACAAAAAGTGACATTCACTAAAACTAAAATCACATAGTAAAACATTACTGTATTAAAGCATTTCACACATGCATTTTGTCCCGAGTGCTTTGTCCTGTGCCCTGCCTGCATTTTTACTGTTCTTTCTGCCTGGAAACTGAGAAACGTCCATGGTGTCCAAAAAACGTCCCTTTATATCAAAAGCTAGAGAACAGCGATAGTAAATTAGAACTACTTGCAGAATTGAGTGATAATGATTCATGGGGGAAATTCGTCATCAGGCACTGAAAACGATTTTGCAACTTTGCTCAGTGATGTACGAACTTGACGCTATATTTCAAATTTCAGTGTTTTTGGTTTCATTATATTATTGAATTAAATTTATTATTATATTAATATTGTTCATGATTATTTATTAAATTATAATTTATGATTTCATGTTTCAAATTTGATCCTACCCGGAATGTTTACTAGACTCTTGTTCGGACAGATTTCAGTGAGTTATTTCTAAAAATTACAGGCCTACAATAAAAAAAATACATATTTCCATGCAAAAAAATGTACCGCTTTGAGCACAGAAATATGGACATAATCAGACCGCTAGGGGGGTTAAGGTAAAAAATGTTTAGGCTTTATAATCACTTTAATGTGCCTTGGCTTTTCATTTTAAAAAGATATGTTTTAATAGGTTTTTGGCTTGTTCAGTAAGGCAATACAGACAGAAATTATGATGAAAACATAGCTGTTGATTTGCTAAAACTGCAAAATCTGGAGCTACACTACATGGAAAACCAATCAGCTTCCGGGGCTTTTTTTTGTCAAAGCTTAATTGAACAAGCTGAAGTTAGAAGCTGATTGGCTACATTGCACAGCTGCACCAGATTTTGTACTCTCCAGTTAGTAAATCAACCCCAGTGTGTTTCATTTTACTGTAGCCAGGTTAGTTGAGGAGATTATTTCTGATATACTGTTAAAGGCTACTGCACTTTGGTCATCACCACTGCTTGTCTCACTGTCTATTAGAATAATCCAGCATTATAACAGCTAAAAGAGAGAAAACAGAGCATTGCAACCAATTAGATTCCAGCTGTCATTATGAAAATATAAGCCTGTTTCCTTCTTCCTTGAAGCTAAATATGTTTACTGTAGGGTTTGATCAGACTTACTAAGCATATGTCAGTTAGTTTTCATCAGGGCTGATCCTCAGAAAATCAGGATTTCATCTGAGAACTGGATCCCAAACCATTAACTGATGTTCCATGATGCTATTTATGTAAAGGAATTCCTCTTTATCTTTTGATTATGGGTATTTTCCAGTACATATGCTGTTTGTCTACTAAACAGAGATGATTACAAGATGATCATTGAGACCATTGTTGACTATTTGTTACCTACAAATGAATATTATGTGTTATTTTTCCTTGAACACAAGAAATTAAAGAAATAAATGTGTATCAATGGGTTTTCACGTATACACACTAGCTGTTGTATCCCAAGTGCAGCAATATAAAATGATAAGGATAAAATTAGGTGAAGTTGCATGTACATTACTCTTATTAGGCCTTATTCACAGGTAAGTCAAAAAAGTTTGCTCAGCATGTGTTTTTTTATACAATCAGGGTTAAAAAGAGGATGTGCTGAACTGCACAAGTCCATAAACAGGTTAGCAATTGCTAGGCACTGCACCGATCTGTGTTCTGTTAATTGTTGTATACAACATTTGGAGCATGATTCACCTTCATTAGCTTCCTAGCATACTATTGAATCTGAACCAGGGGCGGACTGACCATTTGGAAACTCGGACACTGCTCGAGGGCCTGGGGTCAGTAAGGGGCCCCATGAGATGCCCTTGGTACCTTTTTCATAGGCTTTTTTTAGTTTGGGCAAGGACACAGGGGCCCCATGATCCCCTATTGCCCGGGGGCCCCATGAGTTGTCAGTCCGCCCCTGATCTGAACCAAAAAATGTTTAACATGACTCAGGTGCTGGAAGCTCTCCTGCATCTGCTATCCTTGTGGACTAAACTTTATGCATTTTATATGAGATAAATGGTACTGGGCTCAGCAAAGATCATTATTCATAGAAACAGTTATGCAGAAATGACATATAACTAAATTCTATTCTTGCCTAACAGTAGTCTGGCAAACACACAAAAAAGCTGTCTGAATTGTCTAATATTCTTGGGAAGATACAATTTGATTTTTCACCTTTCATAGTTAAAAATATGTCTTAGTTTTTTTTTTAATAGTTAAAACTAAGAATGATTTAGCAATGTTGTTCTCTACTGTGAATTTGATATGCATAACTTTACAAGAATCACTGGTGTGTAACAAACCTTTACGTGGATTTGTCTGGCAGGATATAATGTGAATATCTCATACAGAATGAGAATGTTATTTTTAAAGTGTTTAGCTGTGACAATGCATTGAAACCCCTCTGGCAAATTACCATTTGGCAGTACCTTCTCTCATATTTGAGAAATTCTTAATGTTGCCAAACTATTATCTTTGGTTTCCCTTATCAGCGCCTTGTCTGCAATTAAATATACATTACATGCAAAAGTATGGAATCTTTTATTCAGGAGTTTATTATCTACAAATTTCCAACATGTGGGAAGACAAAATAGGAGACTATCCCTGTTTGGCCACACATTTATACATAAGAACACCGTAACCACACATTTTTTCTATGTGGATGTATAAAGCACTGGTACTAAATAACTAAAAAATGGATGTAAGCAGGTAGATCTGGGTCTATTTCTAGGCACTGGTAGACTAGATGATTACCTATAGTGTCACCAGCTGGAAGGGGTTAGGAGAGCAATGGGCAACAGCAAACGTAAAGTGGTTGTAAAGGCTAAAGGTTTCTCTGTTGATCACAGAGAGATCTCAATGGAATTTTTAAGGAGAACCAAAAACTGATAACTACATATTTCTGGTGACATGATTCCCTTGTTTTTGCTACATTTAAGGGTTACTTGTAGTAAGCACCTACCTCTTTTTACCATATGTAAGGCAATACTTTAGGAGGTGACCAACAAAGTAAACAGCAAAGCTGAAATTGACATTTTGGTGTACCAATGCCAATAGAAAGTGAAAATGAAAGGAAAATGTCCTCCATATTTCCTAAAAGTGTACATTATGCAACTATCATAGTAATAGACATCCATAATTATTTTACAAAATGTTGTCATGTTCTGTCAAGAATTTGTCTTGCAAGATGTTTCAGTGTATCTTACCTTTGCTGTCTGTAAAGTTTCGTATACTGAGAATATCATTCAGATCCTGGTAGTGGTTCTGCTTGATATATGTTGTTTTCTCAGGTGTATCTTGAAGTTGCATTGTTACTTCCTCAAGGTCTTTGTCCAGCTGAAAAATAATAGGATAATATTTTTTAAATTCTTATTAAATATGTACATAATATAATAGCAAACAATGGATTAAATATTAGAAACACATTTTAAGCAAGCAACTTTGCAAACCATTTAATCACAAAACGTCATAGAAATGTTCTGTGAAGATGTCCAAGAGTGTTGCAAAATTGGTCCAAAATCAAAGCACCTGGAGATACAAATACTCCCTACTTATGCAATGACTTCCTAAAGATGATTATCTTAAGAATGGAAACCCTTGCAATATAATTTAATTCAAAGGTGCCACACTGCTTCTGCAAGCAACTCTGAAGATACAGTATATCTGTCCATGTAGTTACCGTATCTCACAGAAGTGAGTACACCCCTCACGTTTTTGTAAATATTTTATTATATCTTTTCATGGAACAACACTGAAGAAATGATACTTTGCTACAATGTAAACTAGTGAGTGTACAGCTTGTATAACAGTGTAAATTTGCTGCCCCCTCAAAATAACTCAACACACAGCCATTAATGTCTAAACTGCTGGCAACTAAGGTGAGTACACCCCTAAGTGAAAATGTCCAGATTGGGCCCAAAGTGTCCGTATTTTGTGTGGCCACAATTATTTTCCAGCACTGCCTTAACCCTCTTGGGCATGGAGTTCACCAGAGATTCACAGGTTGCCATTGGAGTCTTCTGCCACTTCTCCATGATGACATCACGGAGCTGGTGGATGTTAAAGATCTTGCGCTCCTCCACCTTCTATTTGAGGATGCCCCACAGATGCTCAATAGGGTTTAGGTCTGGAAACATGCTTGGCCAGTCCATCACCCTTACCCTCAGCTTCTTCAGCAAGGCAGTGGTCATCTTGGAGGTGTGTTTGGGGTCGTTATCATGTTGGAATACTGCCCTGCAGTCCAGTCTCTGAAGGGTGGGGATCATGTTCTGCTTCAATATGTCACAGTACATGTTGGCATTCATGGTTCCCTCAATGAACTGTAGCTCCCCAGTGCCGGCAGCACTCATGCAGCCTTAGACCATGACACTCCCACCACCATGCTTGACTGTAGGCAAGACACACTTGTCTTTGTACTCCTCACCTGGTTGCCGCCACACATGTTTTACACCATCTAACCAAATAAGTTTATCTTGGTCTCATCAGACCACAGGGCATGGTTCCAGTAATCCATGTCCTTAGTCTTCTTGTGCATCATCTTTAGAAGAGGCTTACGTCTGGGATGACAGCCATGCAGACCAATTTGATGCAGTGTGCGGCGTATGGTCTGAGCACTGACAGGCTGACCCCCCACCCCTTCAACCTCTGCAGCAATGCTGGCAGCACTAATACGTCTAATGACAACCTCTGGAAATGACGCTGAGCATGTGCTCTCAAATTCTTTGGTCGACCATGGCGAGGCCTGTTCTGAGTGGAACCTGTCCTGTTAAACAGCTGTATGGTCTTGGCCACCGTGCTGCCACTCAGTTTCAGGGTCTTGGCAATCTTCTTATAGCCTAGGCCATCTTTATGTAGAGCAACAATTCTTTTTTTCAGATCCTCAGAGAGTTCTTTGCCATGAGGTGCCATGTTCAACTCCCAGTGACAAGTATGAGCGAGTGAGAGCGATAACACCAAATTTAACACACCTGCTCCCCATTCACACCTAAGACCTTGTAACACTAACAAGTCACATGACACAAGGGAGGGAAAATAGCTAATTGGGCCCAATTTGGACATAACTTAGGGGTGTACTCACTTTTGTTGCCAGCGGTTTAGACATTAATGGCTGTGTGTTTGAGTTATTTTGAGGGGACAGCAAATTCACACTGTTATACAAGCTGTCCACTCACTACTTTACATTATAGCAAAGTGTCATTTCTTCAGTGTTGTCACATGAAAAGATATAATAAAATATTTACAAAAATGTGAGGGGTGTATTCACTTATGTGAGATACTGTATACATTAAGTTAATAATATCATGATCTACAAAAAAAATGAATGCAATTAGAACAAGTAGACCATGTCTGATAAATCTGACAGCCATCAGTTCCATAGGTGGGGTCTCCTGGCTTATAGCGCTCCTTACTTTTGTAGTATATTATCATGTTGGTGCTCTTCATCTTATATAATGTTATATTTTTGGCTGCGATTACTGAAACTTTGCCATATACCTTATAATCATTCCATAATTGTCCCATGGTACCTTTTAATATGTTCTTCCTTTTGCAATTTTTTTTTCCATCAGAAGTTTTATTAAATTGCTTGAATAAAAGTAGGGCGACACAATGCCCGACTTAAATCCTAGCTGGCAATGCTGATGTGGAAGAATCTTTTTTTTAAATTTTGCAGGGCTGTACCAAATTTTTTTTCTATGCCCTGACCCACACTTTAGTTCAGTTTTTGGGCAGCTGTAATCCTTCAGAATTTGAACAATGAAGTGGCCATAATAGCAGTTATTTTTGTGATCGAAGCATCACAGGGCAGCTATATCTGTGAGTGGGTTGGCAGAACACAATTACAGCCACAGAACAACTAAGGGGGAAATACTATACGTCCTTACAAAACTGAGAGACAAGTACACAAATGTTAGAAGCCTAGCTAACAAAAAGAACTGAAGCTGCTGATACACAGAGGATTTTCACTATCAGAGACTTGGTTTGACAGCACATATGACTGGCTAGCAACTACCCAGGGGTATTCCTTGTATCGGAAGGACAGGGAGGGTAGAAAAGGGGGAGGGGTGTGTCTGTATATCAAGAATGATTTGCTGCTGAATGTGAAGGAGAACATTGCAGAGCAAGGGAAGGAGGTAGAGTCCCTGTGGAGGGAGCCTCAAAGGGAAGAAACAAATGGGAAATTAATAGTGGGGGCATGTTACAGACCCCCTAACCAGAAGGATGAGGAGGAGTTGGATCTCCTATAACAGTTAGAAATGGCAGCGAGGCATGGCAGTGTTATCATGTTATCATAATGGGGTACTTCAACTATTCAGATATTGAATGGGCAGAAGGAAGGAACAGCTCACCTATTTAAGGCTTGCAAATTCTTCAATGTCTTGCAGGACAAATTCATGTGCCAATTGGTGAATGGCCCAACTGGAAAAAATACTTTGCTAGATATATTAATTACAAATAACACAAATCTGATTGCAGATGTGGAAATATGGGACAACCTGGTAACCTTTGGAAAACTTTAATGTAAAAAGACATATTAAAGAGAAAAAAAAGGCCTTTAAAAAATATATAAGATAAAAGGGTCATTGTTGGCATTCCAACACTACAAGGAATGCAATAAGAAATGTAAGAGAGCAATCAGGGCAACTAAAATAGACCACGAGAGACACACAGCGGAGGAGAGTAAAAAACCCCTAACTTTTAAAAAAATATATTAACAGTAAGATCAGAGCACGTTGGCCTCATAAAGGATGATCAAGGAAAGTCGGTTACAAATGATAAGGAATAGGCAACTACTAAATGCTTTCTTCTCCTCAGTTTTTACACAGGAAAAGAAGGGGTATAGTAACCAAGACAGCATCATTAGTATCACATCACTGAATGTACCCTTGTTTTCTAACAGAAGCCAGTGTTCAAAAAAGACTTGAAAACTTAATGCAAATAAACCACCAGGACCAGATGAATTACACCTGAGTTCTCAAAGAACTCAGTCAGGTTATAGCCAGCCCATTATTCCTAATTGTTATGAACAGTTTAATGATGAGAA